CCTGTGGTTATACTCCCGCAAATCCACATGATATTTTCCTATGTTTTAGCAAAAAGGATAAATATAAACTAAAAAGCAGCCCCTAAACAAACTGCTCCAATGGCCTATCAGCCTCTGAAACAATAACAAAAACAGAAAGGAGCATACAGCTGCATTTTATGAAGCATTTGTGAATGACAAATCTGCAAAACCTGAAGCATGAATGCAGAATTGGTTAGGATATTCTCCTTCCCATTCTATTTATGCAGCTAGACATTTGGGCAGCTGCTTTAGGTTTGTTGGGCAATTTTAGGTTGTTCTGTACTCCTGGGGGAGGGGGGAACAGTGGTGGAATCTTGTTTTATATTTTGGTAAAATGCAAGTATTTCCAATGTGCATTGAAAACATGTACAGTGGTGCCTTGCTTAGTGATCGCTCCGTTGAGCGACGAAATCGCTTAGTGATGGAGTTTTTGCGATCGTTTGCGATGGTCCCTATGTTTTTTTTCGCTTTGCGATGATCGCGGGGAAGCGATCATGGCAAAGCGACCCTTTTTTAACAGCTGATTGGCGGTTTCAAAATGGCTGCTGGGAAAACAAAATGGCCGCCCACTGTGTTTCCTCGCTTTAGAGGCACCGAAAATGGCCGCCCCTATGGAGGATCTTCGCTTAAACGTTAGTTTTTAGCCCATAGGAACACATTAATCACGTTTTAATGCATTTCTATGGACTTTTTAATATCGCTTAGCAATGACATCGCTGAGCAACGCTTTTTTCTGGAACGGATTAACGTCACTAAGTGAGGCACCACTGTATTCTGTTCATTTTGTGCACTGACTTTCTTTTCAAATTCATAGCATCATAGAATTATGAATTTGGAAGGTTAGCCCATAGGAACACATTAATCACGTTTTAATGCATTTCTATGGACTTTTTAATATCGCTTAGCAATGACATCGCTGAGCAACGCTTTTTTCTGGAACGGATTAACGTCACTAAGTGAGGCACCACTGTATTCTGTTCATTTTGTGCACTGACTTTCTTTTCAAATTCATAGCATCATAGAATTATGAATTTGGAAGGGACCTGTAAGGCCATCACATCCACCCCCCCTGCTCAGCATTTCTATGGACTTTTTAATATCGCTTAGCGATGAAATCGCTTACCAACATTTTTTCCCGGAATGGATTAATGTCGCTAAGTGAGGCACCACTGTATTCTGTTCATTTTGTGCACTGACATTTTTTTTTTCAAATTCATAGCATCATAGAATTATGAATTTGGAAGGGACCTGTAAGGCCATCACATCCACCCCCCTGCTCAGTGCAGGAATATAAGTCAAAGGAAATCTGCCAGGTGGTTTCTCTTGAATGCCTCCAGTGTTGGAGTGCTCACCACCTCTCGAGGTAATTGGTTCCACTGTCTTACTGTTCTAACAGTTAGGAGATTCTCCTAATGGTTGTTGTGGGTTTTTCGGGCTCTTTGGCCATGTTCTGAAGGTTGTTCTTCCTGACATTTCACCAGTCTCTGCAGCCGGCATCTTCAGAGGACTGAAGTAGGTACTCTGTCCATGCTCTGTTCGTATTTGTTGGATAGTTGAGTATTTTTAGCTGTGGGAACAGCTTTTGTCCTTTTCAGGAGATAGGGTGATGAGAGTGTTTTTGTTGTGATGGGGGAGAGATTATTTGTCACTGTGATTGATGGGCGTCGTTAGCTGGTCTTTTTTGTGCAATGATCCCTGGCCCTTGTGGCTGGGTAGAGTTCGTTGACATTTTGCAGGCTGTATTTTTTAGTATTGGGAGCCAGGCCGTGTTTAGTTTTAGGCCTTCTTCCTTTTTGTTGAAATTCTGTTTATGTTTATGGATTTCAATGGCTTTCCTGTGTAGTCTAACATAAAGATTGCTGGTGTTGTCCAGTATTTCAGTATTTTGAAATAGAATTTCATATCCAGCTTGTTTTAGGGCATGTTCAGCTACTGCAGATTTTTCTGGTTGTTTTAGTCTGCAGTGTCTCTCATGTTCTTTGATTCTGGTGTGAATGATGCATTTTGTGGTTCCAATATATACCTGTCCACAACTGCAAGGTATCCGGTATACTCCTGCAGTGATGAGGGGGTCCCTTTTGTCCTTTGCTGACCGTAACATTTGTTGTATTTTTGTGGTGGGTCTGAATACTGTTTGTAGGTTGTGTTTTTCAGAATTTTCCCTGGGACTGAAGTCACACTGACTGGTTTGTAGTTCCCTGGTTCATCTTTTTTACCAGATAGGACTACATTAGCCCTCCTCCTGTCATCTGACACCTCACCATTTTGCCATAATTTCAAGAAAATAATAGACAGTGGTTCTGACAGTTCTTTAGCCAGTTCCTTTAGTACTCTTGGATGCAGTTAATCTAACCCTGGTGATTTGACCTCATTCAAGATAATAAGGTATTCTTTGACTATTGTAGTCCTCGAACAAGGTGGAATTCTTAGCATGTATGTATTACTGAAACAATGATGTCTACGTTGGCTTGGGCATGTCGTAAGAATGGATTCGAAAAGGACTCCTGTATGGAGAATTAGTGCAGGGAAAGTGCCCTAGAGGGAGACCACAGCTGCGATACAAGGATACCTGCAAGCGGGATCTGAAGGCCTTAGGAATAGACCACAACAGATGGGAAACTCTGACATCTGAGCATTCAGCCTGGAGGCAGGCGGTGCATCACGGCCTCTACCAATTTGAAGGGACCTTTGTCCACCAGGCCGAGGCAGAGAGACAGTCATGGAAGCAGCAAAACCAGGGAGCTGGACAGGGGACAGATTGCATTTGTCTTCAGTGTGGAAGGGATTGTCCCTCTCGAATCGGCCTTCTCAGCCACACTAGATGCTGTTCCAAGTCCTCAATACAGAGCATATTACCATAGTCTCTCGAGACGGAAGGATGCCTAAATCCTGGTTTATCAATCTCCCATTTCAATTCTGTCCCCTCCACCTGCACTTCACATTTGTCTGGAGGGTCATACTGTGTCCTTTGGGAAAAGACTGACCTAAAATAGGAATTGAGCACTTCTGCGTTTTCTTTATCTTTTGTTATCATTTTTCCATGTCCATTGAGTAACTATGCAGCTGTTTCTTTTGTCTTTTGCTATACACACACCTGAAGATTGTGCTTTTTTGTTCCCTGAGTCTCTTGCTAGCCTCAGCTCATTCTCAGCTTTTGCCCTCCTAATGCCATCCCTGCAGTTCCTTGCTACTTGCCTGTACTCTTCCTTTGTGACCTGGTCTTCCTTCCACTTCCTATATGATTCCTTTTTTGTTTTCAGGTCCTCTCTGAATTTTTTGTGAAGCCAAACTGGCCTTTTTTGCTATCTCCCACCTTTTTTTTCTTGTGGAATTGCAGGTTTTCTATCTACTGAGAAACAGATGGTTAATACAATGCACACATCTTGTACAATAAAATGTGTGTCTGGGTGTAGTGTTCCACAGGAGAACAAATTATCTCCTAACGAAAGTCTAAGGTTCAATTTCCTACCTCTCCAATTTTTAAAAAGGACGTGACAGTTGAGAAAAACAGAGATTTCCTGATGTTCAGGTATATGCCTACAGTATTATCAAGGATCATTCATTTCTTTGCAAAACATACCACTAGACAGACCTACTTTGTTGCCATTTATTTAACCACAAATTCCAATACGAAAAAGCCTTTAATCTTGCTAGTTGTGGTTTGCCTTCTTGTAGTTCATCTCTATCTTTGATTCACCCCATGACCATCTATCTAAACATATCAGAGGCTGATGTGAATTTGAGGGTTGTAATGCCAGTATAACTGGGTAACAGGCCATTTATCATCATGATCAAAATGGGAAGAAATAGTCCCTTTCCATTTGGTATAAGTAGTCAGCAGCTATAGCAAATTTGTGTGCAGCACAGAAAATGCTGTGATCAAAGAAGCAAGAATGAAAATATGTGTTTCAGCCACAAATACATGCTAACTGAATTTGCTATGCCATGTGTCTTCCACACACGCAGGAGAGGCCAGAAACCTGCATCTTTCCTTCCAGCTTTATAGCAAGGATATCAGTCTTTGCTTATTTTGTTGCCTCGTGTGAAGAAGATTTTTTTGGTCACCACCGAGTAAAATTATGACATTTTTATACACATTCTACATTTTTCTTCTTTTTCCACAGAAACATTTTTTGTGCAAAAGCACCATTTCCCCACCACCACCACAATGCTGCTGCAACACAAATGCTTGTTTTTCAGCATGTGCATAGGAACGAAAAGACTGCAAGCAACTGATCGTGTTTTAAACTGGGTATTTTGATGGGTGGAGACACCCTCTTTCATTGGGGATGAGGAAATTTTTGAGCTTTCATTTCATCCTAACTGTGCATCATTTAACACACTACCCACATTTAAAAGGTTCTTCCATTTTAAACATCTCATTATTTGATGCATTATTAAAAATATTCTGCTTGTGAAAGCAGAACCCCTCTTAATATAAACACCTTCCTGAATAAAGGAAATAATTCTTTTCCAAGTCTTTGAATTGGAATAACCAATACACTTTGGTGGACAGAAGCTCTGAATCAGTTTGTTTCTTTATTTGAGTCACTTCACTCCGCTTTCCAACTTTTGGTTTTCTGGGAAAATTTCAGAAGAACTGAAGAGAGAGAAAAGATCTTTAAAAGGAAGAACATGGATTTCATAAAAGGTTGGATGCACATCCCTGCAGCCAAAGGGATTAACAGGCCTTTTTTGGTCTCTCCCTTGATTAGATCTGACAAAGAATGTATGGTTTGAAAAATCAATGAGGATAGAAAAACAGAAAGTTCTCCAAAGATCTAACTCTGCAACTACAGTTAAAGTGAACAATATGGTGCTGATCTAATTATAGATCATACTTCTAATTTCAGTACAATTCACAGGTGTAGTAGTGCTTCTCAGTTTAGAAAACATAGCAGTGAGAAGTACATGCTAACAGATACAGTGTGTGTGGGGGGGAACAGCCCACATGGTGTTGTGAAAAACAGAGCTCTTACCTGGCACAAAACTTCCCTGGACCACTTCTTTGTAAGCCCACCAGCCTTCATGGATTTTTGGTGAATTCTGTTGAGCTAAAAAAAGAAGATGAAAAATAAGAATAATAAAAACAGGGCAACCACATTCCCTACTTTTAATAGACACACCAGAGTTTGCTATTACATTACAGGCCTCAATTAAGTCCCAACTAGAGTATACTCAATTCAATAAACATCTATTCCATTAATTATCTCTGTTGGGCTATATCTCTAAATACAATCAACAACTGTACAGTGGTGCCTCGCTTTATGATTGCCCCGCATTACGACGAAAATGCATTATGATGATGGTCTAAATGGGTCTTTTTCACTTTGCGATGATTGGTTCCTTGCTTCGGGAACTGATTCTTTGCAAAACGATGTTTTTAAAACAGCTGATCGGTGGTTTCAAAATGGCCACCGGGTAAACAAAATGGCTCCCCGCTGTTTTCTGGGATGGATTCCTCGCAAGACAGGCAGCGAAAATGGCTGCCTTATGGAGGATCTTTGCTGGACGGTGAGTTTTGACCCCATTGGAACGCATTGAAGGGGTTTCGATGCGTTTCAATTGGGTTTTTTTCCACATTACGATGTTTTCGCTTAACGGCGATTTTCCTGGAACGGATTATTGTCGTTAAGTGAGGCACCACTGTATATGCAAACACTAAATTTTAAAGTAGAATTGCTGAACTGTGGTCCCTTCATGACTGACTTCTGAAAAATCATCAAAGCTTATGTCCTAAAACATGGGACCGCCTGAGATAAAAAAAATTATCCAGGAAAAAACCTGAAGCTACAGTGGTGCCTCGATTTACGAATGTCCCAATGTACCACCATTTTGAGTTACGACCAGCTCCGCCCACAAAATTTTGCTTGTACTTGCGACCAGAGCTTCGAGTTATGACTGGAAAAAAGGTGGGGGGGAAAGGTGGGGAATTTAAATGACTAACTGTTGGTCGGCCAAGAGGCTGCTTCTTTGTAGCTCTTTCACCCCAGCGGTTAGAGACAGTGCGTCAGAGGAGGCTTCAGACTGCCTGGTGCTGCTTTCTGCTTCTGAGTGAGTACATACTGGGTTTTGCAGGGTGGGTTTGGGCTGGGAGATTATTGTTTCTGTGCTCTCTCTCTCTCTCTCTCTCTCTGTGTGTGTGTGTGTGTGTGTGTGTGTGTTTTGACAATTTTTTTTCCAGCCCAGAGCATTCTGATCGGGCTTGCAGTGGTTATTAATAATAATAATATTTTTTCCCATCTGGAATGGATTAATCACGTTCCAATGCATTCCTATGGGAAATGATGCTTTGACTTACAACCATTTCGAGTTACAACCATCTTCTGGAATGGATTAAGTTTGTAAGTCAAGGCACCACTGTATTGTCAGTTCTTCCAAGTCCAAAAAAATGTATCCGTGATTGAGACCATGAACACCTCTCCATGAAAGAGTTAGAAAAGTTATCATCAAAATGTATACACAGAGTCAAAAAACAAAGTTATTTTTTGAGTTACAACTTGCAGAATATCCCAGCTAGCATTGTCAGTATTTGGGGAGTTGTGGACCAAAAGGTTGGTTTTCAAAACTCTTAGTAAAAAATAAAAAAAACTAGAGCTGCGTGCAAATTGTGTCTCAAAATTTGTAGGCAGAGAAATAGGGCATGGTAGTGAAGTACTACTTCACTGATGTTCTCCAGAAAAAGGACAAAGTTTCCATTGGTTTCTTGGGATGTGGCTCATTATTTACAATTGGCCATAGTATATTTTCCTTGCCGCCCCCTCATGCCACTTCAACCAATGGCAGCAGAAACTGCATTGGCAACTTGGCCACTATTTTGCATTGTCTTTATCTCAGATGTATCATCTTTCCAGAGCATCTGAAGGGTGTGTATTTGGGGGGATCGCCAGATGTCTTGAAGTACAACTCTTAGAAATCCTTAGTGGCACAGTTTGAAGAGAAGATTGAGATAACAGGGAGTAAGCCGTCCCCTCACATGTTTGAGGCCAGAGGAGGCGATAATAAAATAGATACTATGACCGGGAAGGTCTAGATACAGGAAGAGGAAGGGCAGGATGGAGAGAAAAGGAGGAGCCTAAATAGAGGGGAAAGGTTGTGTAAGTTTTCCTAATGACAGATGGGGAGGAAAAGGAGAAGAAAAGCTGGGGTTCCAAGGAGTGGGTTAGTCCAGAGCGTGAGAAGAAGAAAGAAGGAGAGGGACCTTAAGTATTTAATGTACTGGGAAGGGAAGAAGTAAAGAGAGAGGAGGGGTTGTTTTCGGGCGAGGATGCAGGGGTCAGGGTATAGAGGTCCAGCTAGGAGAACTAGACCCCTTAGAATGGACGGTTTACGTGTTTCCGTGGGGACTAGGTCCTTGAAGAAGCCAAGCTACAAAGAGAAGTTCAGACCGTCCCCGCACTAGGAGACAAAGAGTTAAATTATGGATTATTGTTGTCTTGGACTGAATTTCCGTTAGAAGCTGGCCAGTTGGCACCACTGAAGTTATAGTTGATTCCCCCTCTGCTTTTGATAATAAAGGTTTACTTGAGAAAAAAAAAACATGACTCCTATGGTTATTCCCACCAAAAAAGAGGAACTGCTCAGCTTTACTACCAAACCTGATCACACACAGCTATAGTGGTGAAGGCTCCTGAGAGTTGTAATCCAAGAACAGCTGGTGACCCAAGGTTGGGAACCACTGCTTTGGAGGCTAATTTGCAAAAGAATTTTCTTTTAGAAGTTGGGGATGGTGGCAAAACAAAATTTTCTCTTGGGAAAATTTCACTGTAGCTCCAAGTTAAACAGTAAGTGCTGAGTTTCAACGCCAGTACCTGCAGGAAAAGACAATCCCTCAAGCACTTCAGTGAAATCATGTTTGTTTGTTTTACTGTTTTATCAGTATTACCACCACCACCACCACCACTATTTCTAGTTTTATCAGTATTACCACCACCACCACCACTATTTCTATGCTAGAGTCTTCTTAACAAAAGACCCTAGATGTCTTAGAGAGGAAACATACAAACACTAAAACAATATGAAGAGGAACATCTCGTAGTAGGAAAAAGGAGGCCGAGATGGGTGGGAGTTCCTGAAAAAAAAGAAATTCTAAAGCCATAATTACAAACAATTCCAACAAGAAAAAAAAGGTGGAAGACAACAACAATAAAAAACAACAACGTGACTTCACAAAAATCCCAGAGAGGAACTGAAAACAAAAAAGGACACATATAGGAAATGGAAAGAAGGCCAATCTACATAGGAGGAGTACAAACAACAAGCAAATAACTGCAGGAATGGTGTTTAGAAGGTAAAACCTGAGAATGAACTGAAGTTAGTAAGAGATGCTAAGAGCAACAACAACAACAAAAAATCATTCTTCAGGTATGTGCATATCAAAAGACAGAGAAAAGAAACAGTGGCTCAGCTATTCAATGGGGATAGGAAAACAATAACAGATGACAAAGAAAGGGCAGAGGTCTTCCAGATGACTGGAAAAGAGCTAACATTGTCCCAATCTTCAAAAAGGGCAAAAAGGAAGAAACAGGGAACTACAGATCAGTCAGCCTAATCTTTGTGCTAGATCTGAACCCTTCTGGAATTTGACACACAGAATCTAGTACAATGATGAAATGAGCAAAACCAATGCAGCACAGGGTTTTAAAAATGTTTTTGAGATCGTGTTTTTTTTAAAAAAGTGTGTCAAAATCTATTGCAAAGTTATACCTTATTTCCCTGTCTCTTCTTCCCCCTAATTATTACAGGGGACTTCAGTAATACTGGGGGAAACTGTCTGCTTATGAGATTTCACACTGAACACGAAAGCCAGATTAATATGGTTTGTGCTATATAACTGGCTGACACAGCACAACCATATCAGAAAACAGGGAACAACTTGGCAATTTCAACAGTACTTTATATTTATAAAATCTTTATCGGGTCAACAAGCATCAAGTTAAACATACTAAAAGGAAGCTCATAGGGAAAAACACTAACAACCCAATTCTAAATCAAGCTGTGCCAGCGACTATGAGGTTCAGATAAGCTCACTGGCGATTGTGCTAATGTTCTGCTAGGACTGTAATGAAGTTAGGTAGGTCACAGCAAATGCCAGGAATAGAGTGTGAAACACACAGTTTGAAGGTCACATAAAATAATGGAGAGAGGACAAAAACACCTCCAGAGCCAATGCCAAGTTGCAAGGGCTATCTAAAGAACAAATGGAACTTCTATATTACCAAGCAAAGACAATGGGAAGTTGATTTTCAGGACATTTTTTTTAAACTTCAACTTCTCTGCATTGATACTGGTCCTGGGAAAACACAATCAAGTCAACTGTGGATAGAGTACACGGATGGCATGAATTTGCACTTATTTTGCAAAGAAAACAAACTCCAAGGAAGTAAAGGGTAGCCGTGTGGTCCATACAAAATAAAATCCAAATGCAAAAATAGGTGATACCTTTATAGAACACTAAAAAATCAGCACAAGCTTTTGTGGATTAAAACACCACTTCATCAGGTTTTTGTGAGTAAATGTTCACGGCAAGATGGATTTTGCTAGGAAATTTGTTCTGAGATATAAAGTCAAAAAATTGGCAACGTCACCTGGCAAGATGGATTTTGCCAGGCATGTCTCTCTTAGATGGAAGTCAGGAATCTGGTTACTATTTTACGGTTACAGCTTTAGGCAGCTGTGGATTGAGTATAATAACTCAGTTCTTAACAAAGGCCATGTGCATACACACACCTCTCCATTTGGCCTTTGTTTCAAATTGGTGTGTTTCTGCTTGGTTAGGAGTGGGTAAGGTGGTGACAGAGAAAATCTGAGTCTTCCATCTGAGAATGGGGGTGATAATTTAGTAAACTCACTACGTTTAGCCAATTAGGGTCAGATTAAAGCCAAAAGGATATTACCTAGTGGTTACAGTCCTGCTCTGCTGATGTCGACAGTTCATGTGTGATTTGTTGGGGCATCTGACATTTTCCACCAAGTGAAAAGAAGCAGTTCTGCTTTTCAAGTAAACATGGGGAGCAGGTGAGGACTTGTGAGGGTTCCTCGTATTCTTACAGTT